ACATGCCCCTTAGCATCTGGAAATGAACAACCAGGTGGTTTTCCTAAGTATCATCATTTAATTGCTATGGCAACCAGAAGGCTATTAAAAATTTACAGACAGGGGAAGTACCTGTTATAATGTGGAATTGCAAGGAATCAATAGATGGATTTTTGATACTTTGCTACAGTTATCAACCCATGCTGCACACCTGGCCCTTCTGCAGTGCTAATTCTCCCTTTCTGTCCACAGAGATCTTCAAACACGAAATACATCTTAGCTTTAAAACTCATGGAAGGAGATTAGCTAGAGTTTGCAGAGGAGTGGAGAAAAATAGATATTCTCTTCTGCATACTCAACTGTAGGAATAGTAACTTCTCAAATCTCAGCATCTGTTTATTAAGGGTCTATAATCAAAGCCTTCTTTTACATTGATTTAAAAATCTTCATTAAGCCACAGGAGGTAGCTGTTTGATTTTCAAAAAGTGCTGTGCAACTACTGTTTATAATCTAATTACTGCTGATACTACTCCCTAGTTGTCGATCAGTGTCTCTAAATCTCATGTTTGCTCTGTATTATTTGTGGTTTCTGCAGTGTAACTGGCCACAGAAGCTGTCCATTAATTCCTCTTCTCTTGCTTCAGCATTACTTAGCTTAACTGTGATGCTAAAAAAAAAAAAAAAAAGGACACGATTTCCATCACTGTGACAGAGTTTTTGTTCTTCTAGTATTTATACTAAGAGCTGTATCAACATCATGCTCAGCAGTTCCACTTCTGGAATTTCCCCATGAAAAAAAGATTTAAACCCAAAGCAATCACTTGTCGAATCCATGCTGTCAACTTTTTAACTATTTATCTTAACTACAAAACAATTAGACTGGGGCAAAGATAATGAATGAAAGCCACTGGAAGTCACCTGTGATTTTATTGCAGGTGAATAAAAGGTGCCTGCACCTTAGGGGTTAAACTACACATATGGTAAATTTGGCAAGCTATGTGGTATATTAGCTAGTAAAACTGAAAATCCAGCAAAGTTGATGAAAAAGAATGGATAATATTGTTTGGGTTAAAATACCTTCTTGACCTAAATGGCAACTTGTTGTAATGTTTTGGAGAAGAAGGGTACTTTTCTGATACTGTTCTGGCACTAAGCATCTCCCCAGATGTTTCCTGATTGATACTCAAAGGTTTCCTAGTGCCATGTAAAAAGTAACGAGGATGAGATAAAGCCCTTCTAAGCAACTCTTCAGTGCTTTAAGGAGAAAACCTAGTGTAGGAAATGCCAGAACTCTAGGCTTAGAAAAAGTTCTTAAGCTCTAAATCATCAAATCAGCACCCATTTTAGCAAAAAGTTCAGGTAATGAAACTGATTCAGTTCTTTGTGCATCCTAAAAGCATTCAGTGGAGAGCAAAAGTTAGTCAAGAATATGTTTGTGAACTAACAGCTGAACACTGGAACTACAGTCAGGTGGCAGTTGTTAATACAACTTCCTGATTTCCTTCCTCTATTTGCGGTAAAAAGTACTTGTCTTAGCACTGACAAATAATATAAAAGTAAACCTAGGAGAATTAGCACCCCACCTTGTGAATGACTAAAGCTTTGAAAAGCACTATGAGATTGGGTGCAAGCAGTGCACCCAGTGCTCTTTTTTCTTCCTTGATAAAGGAGGTTTGCAAAAAGGCAAGTGCCAAAATTGAGAGACGGGTAAACAAACTCTCATTCTTAAGTATTTAAGGAAATATTTCAAAAAGTTTAATTCAGTTGAAGACAGTCTTGCCTCATGCATAAAGGTCTATGAACTTGAAGTCGAAAAAAAATGCTCAATAGTAGTTGACTGCAGGGTTGGCAGAGAACTTTGAAAGACAAGTGGATGTTACAATGTTCAAACTTAAATCCTGGATACTTTATTATCTTGATTGCATGAGTGTATAGCCTTTGGTGTCTTTTGGCAAAGCTTTCCCAGTGCTGACATAAGAAAAATGTAAATCTCAGTGCCTTATTGCTTATTAAAAAAAAAATCCTATTACTGAAGTTCTAATCCTCTTAAATTCTTCATTTTACATTTTCACTGTGAAATAAAATGTCCAAAGTTAAGACGCTAAAGTATGAATATCCCACATGATAAAGTAACAGGAAAGTAAAAGGGAAAACACAACTGTGAATTATCTTTGAAATGTTACAGCACCTAAGTTCAGCTGGCTCCCCACCTGGAATGTGCCATATTTCACAGAATTGTATTCAGCTGATATAAGATATCATACTGTGATAGCAGCACAGTGTAGCAACAGTGCACTTGTCTGCTGATCACTTCAAGTAGTTAAAGGGGTTTTTTTGTTGTTGTTTTTTGCTGTAAGAGAGTCACAAGTTATGCAAATCCTTTATAATAAGTGAACGAGAAGTAAGTCTTGATGAAAAATGTCACGATGCATATGGAACAGAGGAGACAAAATCTTTTGGATGTGCCCATCCAAAAGCAGAGTTAACTGACTTACCTTAAAATGTAAAAATTCTTCTGGGAAAGGATATAGGGTCCATCCTGTTATTGTGTTCAGTACAGAAGAATCCACTCATTAACAAGACAGGCATCATTTTGTTTCATGGGCTCATGAAGAAAGGATGCATTTGTACTGTACTTTATAGTATCAAATACTATTCCTGGGAATACTGCGACTACGGAAAGGCTCCACAAAAAATGAGATGTATCCTATCTCCATTAGAAACATGTAGGAAAAGTGTGTTTGCCACATGAGAAAAGGGACAAAAACAGCAAGGAAGTGAGTGTTTAACCTTCTTGGATATTATAGCCAAAAAAAAAAAAAAGGCAAAGCTTACACTGGCTTTAAGTACATTATATTTATAGTTACGAACACATGTTCATGCATTGTACAGCTATTCAACAATGACATTCTTGAAAATGTTGACCAGCTTACTGCAATTGTAGAATTCCTCCTAGAAGTAAAGAAGATGAATTATCTTTAAGTTTTTGGTGCAGTATGGTGAGTTTAGTAAGCTTATTACATCTGTATTTTAATTTCTTGATGATTCTTGACCAAATTATTAGAGTCTTTAGAAGTATGATGTAATTATAAGTGTCGAGTGATATCCTGAAGTGCACAGAAGCAGCAATTTAACAGATGGCATTGTGGAAGGCCTGTATTGATTAAAAAGTGCTTCAAGATTATTTCCTCAATGCTTTCTGGCACAATTAGCTCTGCTGATGTCTGACACCGGGTTCCAGCAGTTATCAGTTATTACCAGAGGTGGGTGGCTTTGATCCCTGGGTCAACTGGAAAACCGTGGGAAAAATGCATCTTTTACTGTGCAAAGGCAGCTGATAGTGGCTATTGTATAAGTAGGCCCACCTCTAACAGTCTGTCTTCTGTCATGAATCCTTTTCTTTTTTTCCTTTCCAAATCCAGTTTCTTCTCACGTCTAACTGGGAATATATTATAGCTTTAGTCTCTTAAAGAATGGCAGATACCAACAGATCTGTTTCCCCAAGACCACCAAACACAAAAAGTAAACTGCATTAAATAACAGAAGAAATAGTAACAGAGAGATGGCTCAATCAAGCACCCTGTAACTTTTAGTGAGCTCTAAAGAGCCTGTCAAGTTGAAAAATACCTTATAGCTGATACTTCACCACGGTTCTTGATGACATGCTTAATTGGTTTATAGGTCCTGGACTACCCGCAACTTGTTATCAAGTCACATCAGTTTTGCTGGTATGTGCTGCAGCAGTGAAGGCTGCCCATTTTGATGAAGATTTAAGCATTCTTGATAACAAGCAGGTAATACCAAAAAACTTGAAAGTATTAAATCACTTATGGCTCACTTCTCTGAGCAGCTATCTGCCCAGAGAGGTAGTATTAACACAAAGTGTCAACTGAGGGATGATATGAATGACAAACTGAAGAGTAAGGTCATAGAAGTACAAGAGACGTAGCTAGGAAACTTCAAGTTATTCCTCCTTTCAATTTAAAGTTGTTCCTGGAGGTGGTATTGCATAATATAGTCTGAAACAGACTTGGAGTAAGCACAGGGATAGTGTATCCCATGTTACTAAGTATTCAGTTACAATTCCCTCTGCTTTTCAACCTAACCCAATAGTTTGGAATCATTAAAAAAAAAATCTGTGAAATGTAGAAGAAGTTGAAGACAAAATATGTATGTTTGAAAACTGAACTATTTTTTTTTTCTTTTTTTAAATAAGCTTTCATCCTCCACCTGCTGTGTAAATGCCTGGTACGTTTAGAATACTCATATCTAGTGCAGGCTTAACATGTCATGTTAAGAGCATGTATAGAGCTGGAACTATTTCTAGTTTATTATAGAAACACAGTGACCACTAGTGGGTTTAAGAATGGATCTTACATATACACAGACAAGTCCTAAAACAAAATGTTCTTGTTTTCCTCAACATGCTCATGCGTGTGCACACACATACACACACAAAGACTCCTCTAGGCAAAGGTGCCAGTTGTAGGTAAAAGTTAAAAGCAAAATTGAAAACTCTTGATACAAATCAATAAAAATAAGATGCTACATATGCATCACCATCATCTGCTTAACAAAGTTTGATTCGTTCTATGCTATTCTAAAAAGTTAGGTCCACAAAGCACAGTTGCGTTTATTTAAAGCTGATGTTTTATGTGTTGGTTAAACTTAAAGAGACTAATGCTAACAGACTTGTTTACTCTGATCAAGATATATCTACTTCTGTTCCAAATATAAGTTTTTTAAAAATACAAGACTCAATAATTACAGTTATGTTTACGTTTCAAAAGCTCGTTTAACAAATTAAAACTTTCCAAGACAATACATTTGTTTCCTGAGATGGCTTAGTCATATTTCACTTGGTTTACTAGAATTAACAAAAAAAACACTGTACACAAAAATCAAACTACAGCATACAAACACATTTACAGAATTCACCTAATTTCACTAGTACTGTTCCTCTTAATGAGTACACCTTAACAAAAGTCCTAAAATAATCTTCATACATTACAAAACAAGGATTTACAAAACTTTATTATATTTCCAAGTTATTTCACTCTAAAAATGTTGAAACATAAAAAAAAAAAATCCTAAAGGAGTTAACAATAAAAGGCTAACAATCTGGCATGGAAGAGGTAAGTATATGAAACCTGTTTTAACAGTCACAAATCAGTCGCTGGTGATTAAAGAACACTTTGTTCTTCAAAGTTGGCAGGCACTTCCACGTAGCCAGAAACATAAGTTATCCTACCACTCCTTTTCCCTCCCCATACATAAAAATATCCGATGAAATTAAAAAAAGAGTTGGATAAAAGGGTGGACACGTGGTCAAATAAAAGCATTAACTGAGGTCTTGATACTGTTCATCTTGTGTTAAGTGTAAAGACTTTGTCCCAAAGTTTTCCTGACAAGATGGAGTTATTTGGCCTTAAAAACTGTTAACTGAAATACCTCCCTTTTTTACCAGTATATGTTGCTCGCTCACTGCTGTATTGTTGATTTATGCCTGTAACAGAAACTGGCTCTAGGCCAGCCCATGGGTCCTCAAGCATTGAAGGTCTGTAATAGTTTTCCACATCATTAGACACTCTTTTCTCTCTGCCATGCGCTGTACCAAATGGAGTAGATGTCCTGGGTGATCCCTTTGGAAGAAAACCATCAGGTAAAGAAACATTTAATAGACTAATTCAAACTAAAAAAAAAAAAAAATCCTTCTAATGTAGTGGTGCTTTGAAATTGTTCTAGTTAATAATTACTACTCCTTGACTGCATCTTCCTCAGAAAATACAGAAAATATTAGCTTTATTATTTTATTATATATTAAATTATAAATGGCGATGTACCAAGATTAAAGAAAAGTCTTCTCCAGAATATCCCTTTCCAAAAAAAGGCAGCATGATGCTAGTTTTCATAAGCTGCCTAAGCTAGCAACATGTCTAATACAAAGATCAGCAAAACAGAACACAGAGGCTGAGGGAGAGTTAACACTTTTTACAAGAGCAAAAGCCAGAGATGTAAGTAATTATAGATAAGACTCTGCACTGTATGAATCCAATAGCTGCAAATGCCCCAAGTTTACTGGTTTATTGGTGAACTTGCTGTGAAAAAGACCCTGTTTTAACCAAACTAGTATTTTGCAAAATTTGACAGCAGATAACTTTCTTTTGATACGCAAATCTGGATGGCATTACTATTGTAGTCAGTGATTAAGCAGCAATAACGTAGAAGGAAAAAGCTTTTACCTGTAGCTTGAACTATTTTGAAGATCAAGGAAGACACAACTGCGTCTACAAACCTGTTGCGGATCTTAGAGGGCCATGATGTAATCTATAGCCCTTTTCTCCGGTAAGTATTAATCTTTTCCTCTCATTTGTTATCTCAGCCTTTCAGAGTAGCAGATTTGCGTCTTTCCTTACCCCACCACAAGTTTGTAAATAGCTAAAATCAAATACAAGACCCTTCTTGTGCGTCAACTGGAGCAGCTTTAAAATTTATCCTTTTAAAGCACTTTTCCGGATCAATGGCCCTGACAGGCTCTAAAGAACCTCTAAATAATCATCTAAGTATGATGAGCAATCTATACCGATGTTCCCAAACTGGTCCATTTAAGGGTTTCTTTGGAAACATGGTAACATCTGTTTTAACATTCTTATAGTCTCCTGCACAGGCAAATATAACCTTGCTGGTTATTCCAAAGCCTTCCTATTCCTCCTCGATCATTTAAAATGACAGCTCCTGGAAGTCACGAAATCTTTCAATATATGCAGGAGGCACCCCTGCAGAGAAGCTATTCCTCCGAACAAGGAGGTCAAGAATCATAAATGGCTACACCAGTCACACTTTGAAACAAAAAGATTAAAAAATTATATAACGTGGCATGAGATGCAGCTTTCTCTTAAAAAAAAAAAAAAAAAAAAAAAAAAAGAGGTTTTATCTAGAATAGGAAGTTGCATTAATTTGAGTTGGTTTGTTTTCAACTAGTTAAATAACCTAATACTACAGATACACGGAAGTTAGTCAACAACTATTCTGAATGATTAGAAGAACAAGATTCCCCGAGGCAGATAATCAGCATCTGCCTTTATAAAGAAAAGTAAAAACACTGATTAAAGGCTTGATTTTCTGTCTTTTTGGACCAAAGGGGATGGTGTTTGAATGTGACTAATAAGCCCTATCAAATCTCTGTATGGTCACATGAGGGAAAAAACAAAAACAAACAAAATGCCCCACACAGTTAAAAGCCTTTACACTTAGCCAGGGCAGAATTCTTTGCAGGCTAATTAGTCTTGAACCAGTTTCTGAAATGCGCTGCAGCAGGAGCAGCCTACTCGTATGGTACCAGTAAGTACGTTTTTAAAACTCCTAAATGCTGATGATAATGGACATATAGCCAAACACAGAAATATCCAAGTCTAAATTACAAGACCTTTGATTTAGTCTTTCTTAGTACAATTAGATAATGCCACTAAGATAATGTGAAATTATTCACATTCACAATTTCACAATTTTCAATTGTGAAAAATCACTAACAGGTACTCTGAAGGCATCTAAACCAAAGGGAAAAGATCAGAGCATCACCTCAGACTACATGTAAGAACTTTCCAAGGGATAATGAGTTCCTAGAGCCAGTCAGTATGCACTAACTAAAGTCACATTAATGTCCTGCAAGCACTCACATTAGTAGCAAAGTACTAAACAGTGCATTATATCTTTAAAATAAGAAGTAACTTATTAAAACACCATGTTTAGAAGATATCCTGTAACTTCTATATAGTAAGATAGCTTGTGTATGAAGTCTTTTTCCCATGTTACATCCAGTTTGCAGCACTCAGAAGAAAGCAACCTGATATAACTGGATTTGCAGTATCCAGTGGGAGAAAAAAAAATCAATGATAATCTTATTTTGGATTGATTTATTTTATAATAACATTAAATTTCACAAGGTATAATGCAGGGTGTCAGAAATACAGGTCTATTTGTATGTTTGAAATCTAAGAAATGTATTACTATGCAACTCAAGAATGATTCTCTAAATTTAAGTATGTGATATTAATTTCATTTTTAATTTCTTGATTCATCTTGATAATGCTAGTAATTAAATGCTTTTTTTTTTTTCTTATGGGGAAAAATACGGTAATTAAACCATAGACCTGCAGAGAAAGGAAACCCATAGCCCTAACTATGCAAGTAAAACCATTTTCAGGAAAAAGAAACCTGTTTGGTGACAAATACACGTTATAAAAACTTTGTATTTTACTGTCATTAGAGTTGCTCTAAATCTGTGCTGGTGCCAGGCATCTGTCACTGAGTTTTCCTTCAAGAAAACATCAACCTCTTCTCAATACAATACAAATGTGTATGGGTATGTATGTGTGTGTGTACATATACATATATATATATATAGTATGTAAACACACACGCACACAAAACAATATATATATACATACATGCACACAATACAAATATATATATGTTTTCCAGAAAGATCTTTCTAAATAGGAAGGAATTGCCTTCTGTGTCTGTTAATAAATGTGGTAATTTTCCCTTGGCAATGGAAAAAAATCACTTCCTTTACAGCTTATTTCAACAGGTGTAATTTTAGCTGCTCGTAGATGCACGAAGATGCAGAAACCATGGATCTACCATTTTGCAAGATTTGTACATTCTAAACAATGTTCAACCCATCACTGTTACTAGCTACTATTTCACTAGCTCCTCTTCAGTGCAGGATGGGAAATGCCAGTTCTGTATGAATTTTAAGAAGAGATTATATTCAAGACTTTCAACAAACTTCAAACTTTTCAAAATAAATTTTAGAAGTAGGCAAATGTCTGTGGAAAGACAGAAAGTTTAGTTAAGTACTGGCCACATAAGTTAAAATCAGCCATTTTGGAAAAGTGGTTTTAAGCTATGTTTGTTCCTCTAGGCTTTTGGGCCACATTAGAAAATCTACAAGCACAAAAATGAGCACAGAATACTAATGACACGACATATAACTCCAAAGTAAGTATAAACTGTGCTTTGCATTTCCTGATGAGAGATTTTAAAGGCTCACTTTGAGATTTTAATCTCAAAGATGACAACAGTGATATAAACTTCATTATATTTCTCTTAAAAATGTAGTCTGTAGAAGAAAAAGCAAAAAACAATATATTGTGTCAAACAAATCCAAAATTTAGAGTGTGCAATAAAACCCCCTCAGTAAATCTGCTCATGGATTCATGCATTGAGATTCTCTTCCACAATTACAGTTTGTTTCTCTTATCGCGAACACCTAACTTTACAGGACAAAACAGGCATGTCCAGACTGTGATATGTGGCACCTGGATATGAGCTGCATTTGCCATTGCTAGCTCAATAGCTCTGACCAAAGTTATACGGACGGACTTAGACATGTACTACTTTGTAGGGATACTGTCTTGCACGGCTACAGAAGGTTGAACTGAAGCTAGACAGAAAAAGAAAATTTTGATGGTATCTGCAAAATGTTTGGTAGTGTCGGCCATGCCAAACAAAACAGGGAATCGTGGTTAAGAGATTAACCCCCCACTCCATGATTGCCTCTGTTCTTCTCCCAGCCAAAACCTTCAATGTGTATAAGTGCACAAAGACATACACATTAAGTTGCAGAAATGCAAATATACTGCTACTCCTGAAATACAGCACTACTCAGCCAATATTTGTAAACTGCTCATGAGGGCAGGGGGAGGAAAGAGGAAAAGTGAAAGTGTTGTGACAGCCTGTGTTACCCTGTGACTGGATTCAAACCTTCATGTTGCTGCTATGTTTTTTAAAGTCAAGGATGGAGACAGGGAGACTGTCTCCCTCAGTTTACAAAATAAAATACTCCTGACTAAAACTACAGGCAAAAAGATTCCTGCATATTCACTCAGTAAGCTTGAGAAAGGCTTTCTAAAAAGCACACTTAAGTAAGCAATGAATGAGCCATCTTCTGCGAGTACATTAGACATCTGTAACTAAAATCCCTCCAAAACGTGTGAAAGTCATTTTGATGAAAAAAGGAGGTACTACTGTGGCAGCAACCCCACATCCTTTGTCTTTTTGAACAGATATGTAAGTTTAAGCAATTTGTACGCATCTGTACTGGCAGAACTTCGATACTGCGTTGAAGAAAATGTATAATGTTCATTAGGATCATCTTCCACCAGTGATGAGATTGCTATCAGATCATACATCTTCTGAATTGAAAGATCAATTTGCATTTTATTAAACCATAGAAAGATTAAGCTTCATTATTACTCTTTCCTTAAAGTATCAGGAAGAGAATCTGAAAATTCTACCACTGTCTGTACTGCAAGCATCATTTCTTACCCTTTTAGATTAAGTTTTTTTCTAATATTGCATACGGTCAGCTATGTACATAAGGTTGACATCGCCTCAAGAACTGTCATGCTTATCCACTGCAAATCACATTCCCCAATGACACCACCTGAAGAGTGAAACAAGTCCCAGAGCTTGTTGTTTATAACTCTTAGGGAAAACTATATAAATGAAAACTCTCAGAGCAATACTTGAGACTTCAGGTAGATGCTCTATTATGCAACAGATGGTCTTATTTCAGTTTAAAAGAACTTCTACTTAAGCTTCTTCAGCAGACCATTCCTTACTTTTCTCATATCTCAGAAAGCCTGCTGTGCATACACAGGGGCTCCATCATGTACGACATCAGAGGCCAAATTAAAGCATACGCCTTCTCCCTACTCTCTGAAAGAGAACTGATGCACAGGCTAAAAAAGGAAAGAGATGTTTGTTGCAATTTTGAGCCATGCTTGATTTTTTTCTCTCTGCCTTGGCATGTCAGAATATGAAAAGGAGAAAAGTTGCGCTTAGCTTGAGGCCTCACACAGGCTTGAAGCCCTCTTCCCCTTCCTGAGCAGCATTTCCCGATTCCAGCTGCCTGGCTCAGAGTCTCTTCTTCTCCCTCTCCACGGCTGGGGGAGGCTGCAAATTGTTCAGTACGCTGCAAGACCGTTTTTCTTGAAAGCCAAGGTCCAGACCAAGGCTGCTGCTCCCCCTCGCCC